ACCAACATCTTCGTCCGATGAGCAAGCCAATAATAACTCCTCAGATGATGGACACTCCAATTCATCGTCTCCTATGTCCCCTAAACTCAGCACTACTCCTTTATTTCTTACTTCATGTCCGATCTGTGACATTGTGGTCGTACGAAAAATCATCTTCCTCGGAAGTCATGTCCACCTCGGAATCCATGAAATCCGGGTCTTCCTCATAATCTATCAACAAAATGAAAACAATGAAATTAGTTACCCATGGTGTATAACAAACAATCTGTGTGACCAATGAAAGTTTTTACTCTCTTTCTTCTAATTTTACCGTTATTTTTTTGAGTTCAAAATACATCTAGTTATTCACTGAACTTATTTGTTTTTTCTTTTGCTACATGAAGCTCCTTGGCAATATGCAGGACTAGGGCAAAGTTCAGTTTTCACAACAAACATACACATTGCAACACCCACCGTCACAGAAGGTAACATTCATTTCATGAAGTTGGTATTGAGAGTCATTGCAACACACATAGATGCAACACCCACATATTCAACAGCCAATAATATTCAACCTATTGTATCAACGATTTTACCTCCATCTACTTCTGCCATGCGTGCTATTGCTCTGAAGGTGCCGAAGATCCATTTTCTGAACTGGAATTGAGATTCTGGGGAGTAATCTTCGTTGCCTTCGACTAGTATTGCTGTGAAGGCGACGAAGATTCGTCAATTTGGGGGAGGGTTGTGAATTGGGGGTGACGAAGAACTAGGGCTCAGGTTCGATTTTGGGGAAGATGGGTTTAGGGATTTCGAAATGGATTTGGGTGTTGAAGGAAGGATAATTTGGGGGAGAAATGACGTGTTTTACAGCCTAAAATTGCGTCCAATGTGGGAGAATTTGACGTCGTCGACTGCCACATCGGCGACCGTGAAGCCACGTCGGACGGGAAGAAACGGCAGGGATGGTTGGTTATGGATGGAGGGGTTGGTTGGTAAGTTCAGTGACCGATGAGACGGAAAATGGAGTTGAGTTACCTAAACATGGTGAAGTTATAAGTTCAGTGACCAATGAAAGTTTTTACTCTCAAGAACGAGTGTAATAATTGTTTCGTCTTGATTCCACCCCATCTCCAGTGTACTTCGCCATTCTCTCTCTTTCCACATATTTTCAGATTTCAATCACAAAAAAATTCAATTCTTTTCATTCATCTACCTCCCGTTGATTTATTTTCCAGTCAAATGACCTGCGATACTTCTTGTAAGCATCAAATGGTCTCAATTTTTTACACTTTTATTCATTTCTGTGCCTACATGTATATACTTGAGCTGGGTTTTTGATGTTACTGTTCGGTAATTATTTGTAGGTGATTC